TTCCCGAACCCGAACCCGAACCCGAACCCGAACCCGAACCCGAACCCGATCCGATCCGAACCCGACGGTTCTTGTCAAATTAAATACCCGAACGGGTATCTGAATTGAGAACCGACGGGTACGGTTCGGTTCTCGGTTCTAGACCAAGAACCGAAGAACCGAATAAGAACTGAATCTTTCTATTTTTTTATATTGAGTAAATCAAATTATTTTAATTTTAATTTTTTCTAAACAAATTAACAAATCAATGATTTCTAAATCCAAAATTTTGGCCCAATAATTTGTTTCATTTCTAATTTTTTAATTTTTGGCCCAATTACTCATTTTATTATTTCATTTCTTAGCCAAACAAGATCAAATATACTAAATAACCCTAAACACCTACAATAAAGTGCATAACGTTGTCTCGACTCTCGCACTCACTCTCGCAGCCTATCTAATATTCCAAAACCTATACAATCGTCGGCCGACACTCTGACTTCCGATCGAAGCCGTGACTTTCCCCGACTGAAACTTTGATCGTAGCGATCATTTGAACAAAATAGTTTACTAATCTCTGACATTCCAAAACTATTGAATGTATCATTAGTCGTATTTATATAACGTTGTTATAAATGTTAAAAAATTTAATTATAGTACAGAACCGAACGGAACCGATCCGAACCGAACCCGAACGGTTCCATAATTATATTTGGACCCGACGGTTCCATTTACTAGAGACCCGAAAAGTTTGGTTCGGTTCGGTTCTAAAGAGAACCGAACCGAACCGACCCGCGCCCACCCCTAATTAATTCTAAAATATAAGAAAATTTTTAAATTTACGTGTAATAATATTTTAATAAAGAATATGTAGTTGAAATAATATCAAAATATCGTAGCTATATGAATAATGCTATATACTGTCAATCATATTAGAGCATCAATTTAAATGTCATAAGGTGATATGTTCAATTAAATGTGAAATTATATGATTCATTTAACTATGCATATCATTTAATGCTACTTAGGTGCCCCTTAGATTGATTTTGTAAAACTAGTAAATGACATTACTCAATTTATGTTGTGGAAAAATTGTTGTAGAATAGTAGATTCGTAATATATTGTTTTTTGTTTTTGTAGCATAGACTTCTTCAACCAATCTAAGGGTAGTATTACAATTTTAAGTATTTTCTTACTTACTTAAATAGTCCTAAGTAAAATTACATAAATAGAGTTATAAATTTTATTTTTTTTTGGACAAAACAATATATTGGTCCATCATAAATAAAACCCGATTTTTTTTTCCCCTCAACAGCGAGCGGTGCATAACTTTTTTGTCGACGACAATTTTTTTTGTTCCTCTAGGGCAGATAGGTTTTTTTTTTTTTCCTCACTATAGTGATTATGTTTATCTACTAGAACTTCTCTTTTGTCACCAAAAAATATTATCAATTATATGTCATGCACATTGGAGGGACAGTTTTCGAATGATAGGAAAGGGCCGTTGAAGGATTCATATTTAGTTAGGTTAATGGTGATTCTAACCCTCTATATTTGTGTTTTTTGGTCTAATATTTATGAATTGTTGCCGAAACTTGAAAATTAAATTTTTGTGAGAAGAATTGAGTGGACAAATTGAAATGCATGTCATTTTTCAACACTTTCCTTTTTGGGAGCCTGTTCTTCTATGGGGTACTATGGAAAGAAACGTTGGAAGAATCACGATGCTTTTGATCACATTTTGTGAATGGAAGCATGAAAAAGAAGAGTTTGAAGTTATGGGCATTCTTAAACGATTTTGTATGTGATTTGTTTACTGTAAAATTGTGGTTTTGGGCTTTAGACCACACGCACCAAAGGTGAAAAACCCAATTTTTAAGAAGTGGAAATTGCACATATCCATATGTTTTAAGATGCAATTTCAAAAATCAAATCCAAAGTTTATGTATTCAAAAATCAAAATTTTAATATTAATAATTATATTACAAAATTAATTTAATTTACATACCTACCCTACAGCCATCCACCAAACCCTAGTTATTTTCCTTCCTTTCTTCTCTCTACACTTCTCTCCTTTCTCTCTTCTTTTTCTTTCATCATACTGAACCACCATTGACGGCAACATCATGACACCGTCATCTGCGTAACCGTAGTAAGACACTGTCGATGCGACATGATCTGAACAGGATTCAGCCCATTTTTGGAATCCTTACCTCGTTTGTTGCTGCTTAAAAAACCCAAACACAAAACATAGAAATTAGTGGTGGCGTCATCCTGTGTTCGAGGATCTCAGAGCGACGACGTCAATTTCGACATCATGACACAGCAACTTGGCGTAATTTTCATGCTGCCGTGGTTTTTAGCAGTGGCGACGTCATCTCTAGGTATGGCGGTGGTGGTGAATCTGCTTGGGGTGTGGTGGTGGTGGTGATGTTTGTAATTGTGGTAGTGGTGGTGGCGGGGTGGTGGTCGTGACTTTGGCTGTGGTGATAAGGTTGGGGTGATGTTGCCAGTGCTAGTGAGGTGGTGGTTGTGGGTGGAATGGAGTGGATGAGGTGTTTGTGACCAATTATTTAGTAGACTCTGATTGATAATTATTTGGTAGACTAGCGTGATGATGTGGTGTTTTCATGCGTTTGTGTTGCCTTGTTTGATGTGGTGGTAGTGCTGAAGGCAGTGGTGAGGGCCGTGAGGCGGTGGTTGTAAGTGTTTGTGGCGGTCATAAATTATTTAATTCATTGTGACCATTAAATTGGTTAATCTGTGACCATTAAATAATATGTAATCAATGAAAAAGATAAATTGTGACAAAAAAGAATATGCGACCTAAAAAATTGGTAATTTGTGACTTATAATATTTGTTATTTGTGATCGATAAATAAATTTTGACTTAAATTTTGATTTGTGATCAATGAAAAAAGTATGACATATAAAATTTTTGAATTTTGACCATAAAATAATTTATGACATATAAATATTCTGATTTGTGAAAAAAATGATATGTGACTAACTAAATTGTTAATTTGTGACCAAATTGTATATATCTGTGACCTTAATATATTTAATAATAAAATATATAATTAATTAATTAAATCATAAATAAAATTTAATAAATATCTGATTTTTGAAATGTAAAACCTTTGTTCCTAGTTTTGAAATGTGTGATACTAAACCTCTTAGTTTTGAATTTTTTTTTTCCTTTTAAGAATGTATTAGGGCATGCGCATTCATTAGGCGCATTATATTTGCATTTGGATGATTCTAACAAAGTTTAATAGGGATAGTTTCAAGATAAATTTTTAAATTACTGAAACTTGTGAAATTCTTTCAAAAATTAGATGGTCACATTTGTGATGATCTAATAAAAATTCTGTAATTTTTTATTAATTAAATAGGATAAGATCACAATAACATACAATTTATAATCATAATTATG